CCCACCCCCGCCCCGCAAGGCCCCTCACTGCAGCTTCCTGTGCTGTGTGCAGCCCAGGATGCAGGATGGGGTGGGTGCTGGGCCCGCAGTGCACCTGGGACCCGGAACAGGGTCCTGAGGCCTCTGCCAGGTTCCATTGGGGGGCGGGGGCGGGGTGTCATGCTGTTTTCCTGAGAGCAGAACTAATAAATAATGAGGGGCTGGGGAGCCCCTGTGGGCAGGAGGCCCGGCTTTGGCTTATGTGACTCCATGGGAGTGAGACAGGCGGCCAGGTGCCCTGTGCCTGGGGGGGGGAGGGGGGAGCTGGGGCAAGAGCCTGGGGCCAGAGGGTCCTAGGGCCAACCTGGCATCTGCCTGGCCCTCACCTCTGGGTCAACAGGACATGTGGCTGAAATGCAGGTGGACTGGACATGGTGGGTGGAGGGGAAGGCAGTGGCTGCAGGCTGGAAACCATGCCTCTGCCTGCAGCCCCTAGAGGGGGGCGTCCTCAGTCCTCCATTTAGGGGGGTAGCTCTGCTGGTGGCCGTCGCAGCTGGAGTTCCCCATGTGGTCCAGAGGCACCACCACCTCGTCTGGGTTCGAGTTTTTGTTCAGTTCCACCACGCGCGGCACCACGGAGGACCAGCGATCTGGAGTGAACACAGGGAAGTGAGAGTTGGTGGGGAGTGCACGTGCATCTATGGAGCGCCTACTGTGTACCAGGCTCTCCACAGTGACCTAAGGGGGGAGGTCTCATCGTCCCCATTTCACAGAGGCGGAGACTGGGCTCAGAGAGGTCAAGGTGCTTGCCCAGGAGCACATGCGACCATGAGACTTCAGGCGAGAACCTGAACCCCGTCCTCCCGCGTCTCAGGCACTTAGCGTGTGGAAGGGAGGCCCCAGGCATGCACGGCAGCAAAGGCCACTCGGCGGGCAGCTCATCCGACCCTCCCATTCCACAGACAGGAACACCGAGTCTCAGAGAGACAGGATCGCTCCAAGCCGATCAGTGATAAGACTGGCCCAGGGCTGCCCTCTGCCCCGCTGCGCCCTGCGTCGTCTCCCCAACCCCCTGTCCTTTCGCTCACCCCTCCGGAGGCGGCCCATGGTGTGGGAGAAGCCGTAGTACTGGTAGCTCTCGTTCTTGCCCGGGTCCTCGTTAATGATGCCCAAGTTCTGGTTCCAGTGAGACCAGTTCACCTCGTCCACCCTGCGGGGCCACAGCAGGGAAAGGTCAGGGGGAGCCCCCACCCCCGGCCGCCTCCCAGCGCACCCTCCTCCTCCTTTTTATTCCAACCATTTTTCAGTCAACAATTCAGCACATTAAAGAAATTCCCAAGGTTGTGCAACCATCACCTCTCTAATCCCCAACCGTTTTATCCCCCCAAACAGAAATGAGGTGCCCATCCCCCCTCCGCCAGCCCGCGGCTGCCTCTTCTACTTTCCGCTCATGAACTACAGGCCCTGGACACTGCGTGCAAGGGGGCACAGAGTGCATGGCCTCTGGGCCCGGCTGCTTTCACTAGCGTGATGTTTCCGAGGCTCCTTCACGTGGTAGCGTGTCAGGGCCCCTGGGGAATGTCGCCAGCCCTGGAAGCTGCTGAGTCACCTCTCCCTCCCAGCAAGGCCCCACGCGCTTATCAGCAGGGATGGAGCCCTGAGACGGGTTCAGAGGAGCCGCAACGCCTGTGCGTGCGGGTCCCCCGGGCACAGGCAGGCGCTGTCTCCTGCATAACCCATCCGCTCGCACGGCTGGCCCGGGGGTGGGATTAGCCTTGTCCCCATTTCACAGATGAGGAAACCAAGGCTAAGAAGTGAACCCCTCACCCAGCCTCAGCCAGCAGAACAGAACTTTGGTCAGGGCCATCGTGGCCTGTGGCTCAAGGAGACCACGGGGGGA